AATAGTAGTAGTAGTTGCAGCAGTGGTAGGAATACAAGCAGCAGCAGGAGTAGTAACAGTAGTAGTAGCAGCATTAGTAGTAGTAGCAGCAGTAGTAGTAGCGGTAGTGTAGTAGCAGTAGTAGTTGTTGCAGCAGGAGTAGTAGCAGTAGCAGCCGAAGCAGCAATAGTAAAAGCAGAAGGTAGGAATAGAAGCAGTAACAGCAGCAGCAGGATTATCAGTAGGAGTACTAGTAGTTAGACCAGCAGAGAAGCAACAGCAGTAGTACCAAGAGCTGTTGTGATGGAAAATATGGATTATATTAGCATAATCATCATCATTACCCACTGTCACCCTACCAAGCATGTCGTAAGAGTTGACTAATTTAAGATTATTTTAAAAGACAGTGTGCATCTGCCAGAGAGGTACTGGTACCAACAGTCTGCATGCACATAAACCAGATTTGTAAAACGAGTGTCCACGCAAAACTCCTACTTCTGGAATCAGAGTAAAGTCCAGAAGTGGACGAATAACCAGCAGAATAACTGCCGCAGTTTATAAATAGTGAACATGAAGAAGAACAAGATCCATTTGGGACGGAAAAGACCATCATCAAGTCTGAGTCTATTACGGCATGTATGGCAGCTGTTTTTGTAGCCATGCGAGTGGAAGCAGTGGTCTGTTGTGGCTACTGGGTGGCCTATGACAGGGCTATTTCACTGTTGGCCCGCGGCCCGTAAAGGCCTAGCAAGTGACCCGCCGATCATTGACAATTATATTGTACTAATGATCTGTCTATGTTTGAACTTGGACCTCTGGCCAGGGACCATACCCATTTTCAACGTGCTGACCCTGAGAAAACTTAGCTGAATGTCCCCGCCCTGCCCTAGGTTGCCAAGACAGAAGCAGTCTGTGATCAAGACATTGTGCTGTTGCTTACCTCCACTGGAGATGTCGTCGGCATCGCTGGTTCCTCTACCGCTGTCACTGGCGGTGGCGTCTCCTGAACTATCGCTGTGGAAGTCTTCACTGGTCTGTCGTTGTCGGCCCTGTGTGTGGATAATATGAATTGTATTAGCATCACAAAAACAACAATAATAATAACCAGTACTAGTTGTAGTAGAGGAGTGGCTGGTCTCGAACAGTTAAGAACACTGGGTTCTGATGTGAGGGAACCAGGTCTGAATCCTTGGTAAGAAATAGATTGCTTCTGTCGGGGCTGGGAGGAAGGGGGGGGGGGGGTGAATAAAATCTAAACTTGCACAGTTTATTGCAACAGTTCTAGCCATACAGCCATAAATTCTCCGGTAATCCCTGAGGTCCACAGAAAGTCCAATATTATACGTGTATAACGGTTGGAGTTGAGCACCCAATAACCCTAATCCTAACATCTTGTAATTTAGGGCTTTTTCTGAACTCCGCGATTTCTCTTATTTGGGGTGAATAAAAACTAAAGAACCGGTACATAATACACCTTTAAACCACATCTATGGATTGTGGTCATTTCACACCATGGAAATAGCACCATAGGCTACGGAAATTTCAATTAACTCAACAAAGGTCGAATTTAAAGGGAAAAAAAAAAAAACTAGAACGTGATAATATGTTTAGCAAATAACGAGCATTAAAAGACGGTTCTATTGGAATACACGCACATCATGTCCGAAATCCATAATTGTGGATTCAATCTGTATAATATATCTGGTTTGCTATTATACCTTTCTAAAGCATTGGCTCGCCGGTGACGACTTTGTCGCTGGTTGGGACATTATTTGGGTGTGTCTGCTTTGATCGCATCAAAACTGCAGAAGCCGTTTTGAGGGCTCTTGGTGGTGTGTAGGGATAGGCCATTTTATGTGGCGTATAAATAATTGATAATTACTGCCTGTGTGGCTGTTTGCTTGGATGCCCATCTTAGTACTCTAGAAGCAGCGGCTATCTCTATAGGCATGCTTGACGTGGTTCTCTGGTGTATCCTCTCATCTCTATCTCTGTCTCTCTTTCTCTCTCTCTCTCTCTCTCTCTCTCTCTCTCTCTCTCTCTCTCTCTATCTCTCTATTATACGATGTCTGCGTGTCTCTGTTTGTTTTGGTTTATGCGTCTGCCTGTATGTCTGTGTGCTTGATTGACTGTATGCGTGCCTGTGTGTGTATCTGTGTGTTTCCCTGCCTATGTGTGTGTATGTGTTTGTGTGTGTGAATTTGACTGCATGCGTGTGTGTCTGTTTGGGTTTATGTCTGTGTGCGTCGGTGTGTGTGTTTGTATGGGTCTTTTTGTGCGGCTACTTGTGTGTATGTATGTGTGTGTGTCTATGTGGGTTTTTGTCTGTGTGCGTCGGACGTGTGTGTTTGTATAGGTCTTTTTGTGCGGCTACGTGTGTGTATGTATGTGTGTTTGTGTGTGTGTGTGTAGCTGTGTGTGTCTATGTGTCTGGGTTGTATGCGTGTGTGTTTTAGAGCGCATGTCTGTGCGGGTGACAGTGTGTATGAGTGTATGTATGTATGTATGTATGTATGTATGTATGTATGTATGTATGTATGTATGTATGTATGTATGTATGTATGTATGTATGTATGTATGTATGTATGTATGTATGTATGTATGTATGTATGTATGTATGTGTGTATGTATGTATGTATGTATGTATGTATGTATGTATGTATGTATGTATGTATGTATGTATGTATGTATGTATGTATGTATGTATGTATGTATGTATGTATGTATGTATGTATGTATGTATGTATGTATGTATGTATGTATGTATGTATGTATGTATGTATGTATGTATGTATGTATGTATGTATGTATGTATGTATGTATGTATGTATGTATGTGTATGTATGTATGTATGTATGTATGTATGTATGTATGTATGTATGTATGTATGTATGTATGTATGTATGTATGTATGTATGTATGTATGTATGTATGTATGTATGTATGTATGTATGTATGTATGTATGTATGTATGTATGTATGTATGTATGTATGTATGTATGTATGTATGTATGAATGTATGTATGTATGTATGTATGTGTGTGTGCATGTTCGTAAGTATGTGGATGTGTGTGTGTATTGGGTGCCTATGTGTGTGTGTATGTATGAGTGAATGGGTTTGCGTGTGTATGTGGGTGAGTGTATTCGCGCGGCAGCGTGCGCACATATTTTACCACCCATGCTTTTGTTTTTGACTTGATATTCACAATATGCATATTATTACATGAACAAACATGCTTTATTGATGAAATACAACTGCTGTGTGAAAGATGAGAGTTTGGAAGGGCCGAATGTAAGACAGGCCTGCGTGTCTAATTTGTAACCTTTTGAAAATAAAGTTTGTTCCTTCGTTCGTTCGTTCTCTCTCTCTACTTCATTCTACGAGTGCCAATCAATACCTGTAATTTTATTATAATATCTGCAGCATAAGGAGGTTCCCCGTTTGGTCTACCCTTGGGGTGAAAATGTTCCCTCACGAACTTGTATCCCACGTGATAAACAGTTTACTTCATTGAGGATACTAAAAACAAAATTACTTTGAAGGCTAAAGTTCTAAAAGTATGCAAGATTAACTTAACCCGCACTTATAAATTAAGACACATTCTAGAAAAATCGCGCAGACAGAAAGGAAAGAGAATCTAATGAATCTAGTTCTCTGTTGTTTTAATTAGGTTAGAAATACACCGGAGCTGGTACTGGCGCAAATGTGGGAATACTCTATAAGACATTTAATAAATCCTTTCATGTGGAGTTATGTTTCCTTTCATCGTTGGCGCAAAGAAATTGCTCGTTAGGGAGGGAGCAAGATGTTGAGAAAGAATATGGAAGAAGACACAAATAGAAATGGATTACGTAGTTTAAAAAAGGACTGCCAGCAAATGAAGACGAAAGAATAGAGAAATTGAGATGAAGGTAATTGTGCTGAAACAAGGAAAATAAATTGTGCCAGACAAATAATGCAGGAAACAAAGAGAATAAAATCCTGCAAATGTGGAACAATAAATACCACACACACAAAAAAAGAAAAAAAATTAAAATGAATAAATGAACGAATAAATTAATAATAAATGCAGTTTCAAGTTAAACAAACATACCATGTAATTTTAAAACGAGCCGGAAATAACAAGGATACATGTGGGAATAATAAAGTTGCAAAGAATAAATAAGAAAATGTGAAAGAAAACGTGAGAAAGAGCAAGTTCTCCAGTGTCTTGTATTGATTTTTAAAATGTAAGTTGGTTTTCCAAACGTTTTGGTTTTCTCACATATTTATATAACATTGGGCCGGGTGTGCAAAGAGTGGCTAGCAGGTGCTACGGAGGACGAAGTTCAACTGTTGATTCACGACAATTCACGCCCAGGTGAACTGATTATCCATACAGATGGTTCAGTGTTGAGAGAAAAGAGAAGTGCCTGGGAGTTCGTAGCGAAAGCCAGTGGACAATCTTTAGTGCAAGACAGCCTAGCATGTGAGACCACGACGTCTAGCATGAGAATGGAGCTGAAGACGGTAACTGCAGCTCTCCGGTGACTAGAGAACAAGATGCATACACATGTCGTAATGGTAACAGACTCTGAAAGCATGCTGTAAAAGGTGAAGACAGGGATGCTTCGAGCAGTGTGGCAAGCTTCACTGGAAAGGTCACGGGTGGTGAGCATACTTTGAATGTTTTCTCCAGGCCATGCCGGTGGTGGTTGAAAAACAGGCAGACAGATTGGCTGGATCCGCACCACTGGGTGGTGAATTGATACATGAAAAGGCAGATGTGGTAAAAGCCCTTAGGGAACAGGCAACCGAATCAGTAGAGAAAGAAGATTATTATGGCCTGGAGAGAATGAGGCAACTGGGTGAAACCAGAGGGTCTGGCTGGCTCACTACACTCAGAGGAAAGGCAAGACAGACTTTTAACCAGATTGTGACCGGTACCATCAGTATTGGAATTCTGCGCTGTCTGCTGAAGATGAGGACGCTGCATGCATGGGAATGCCCCGAGTGCTGTAATGTCAACTCTTGACTCAACTCAACTTACATATTTAGCAGCTTGACTTATAAGTGATGGCTTCTCCCATACAATGCGGCAAGAAAATATACATAGAAGGACCCAAAAACTTACCTCAGAAACATGACAGAAGTAGGCTCTCTGTTGCTGGCCTAACATCTCCTGACTCAAGTCCAATTTGTGAGTGCCTGAAACCCCACCACTGGTCAAACTGTTAGGGAATGAGGTGTTGAAGCCGCTATCTTGAATTTTGTCGCTGGGAAAAGCCGCTTCCTTCTTTGGGGATCTGATCTGGAAAGTAGACATTTGAGGAAGTATAACTTCCGGTGCATGTTTGGCGTCATTTGTGACAAAAGTGATTTCTTTTAATTTTGGCGCAGTCCGAGGAGATTGCATAGGGTCCATTCTTCTCAGCTTGAAAATGATAGCGATAATAGTGACAGCGATGATAAGTGTTATGCCAGAGATGACGCCAGCAATGATCGTGTACTTCTGCTCTAAATCAGAGGCTGGGTCGATGAAAGAAGCGTTGCTGAAGTCAACATTGATGTGCAAAAATGTATTGTTGTGTAAACGCGGATTGCCACCATCTTGAACAGAGACTGTTAGTCTGTAGGTCGTGTCTCTGCTTGAGGTGAGTCGTTTAGCAAGAAAGATTTTACCTGTAGAATTGTCAATGTTGAACAACTGACGAGGGTTCCCTTCGGCAATCAGGTAGAGCAGCTGGCCGTTTCTCTGAGTATCCAGATCTATTGCGGACACGGTAGCTATAACTGTCCCCGGAGACGTGTTTGCATTAACGGTCAACGAGTCGTTCCCAGACCAGGGATAGATAATCTGTGGACTGTGGTCATTTGTGTCTGTGATGGTAATGGTAATTGTGGTAGTAGTTGAGAGAGACGGAGACCCTGAGTCACTAACTGAGACGACTATGTTGTAGTAGCTAACGGACTCTCTGTCGAACGTTCTGGTTGTGGTGATGACCCCAGTTCTGGAAATATTAAAACCCATTCCAGAATCAGAAACTAACTGAAATGATAACTTTCCGTTGACTCCATCATCGCTGTCGGTTGCCACAATCTGGGCCAGGAACGTACCAGGCAGCTCATTCTCCTTGACATGATACTCCGTCCTGGTGACCCGGGGTGGGTTATCGTTGACATCCTCCACAAGGATCGTCACCGTGGCACTCCCTGTCAGAGAGGGCTTTCCCTTATCGACCGCTTCGACAGTCAAATAAATGATTGGCTCAACTTCCCTGTCAACGGGTGAATTTAACGAAATCCAGCCGGTGAAAGGGTCAATGCTAAAGGAATTACTACTGTTCATTGTTAAGTGATAGGTGACTTCTTTGTTGATGCCCTCGTCTTGATCATTCGCTGATATCTGGATAATATTATGTTGAGACTTGTCGTTTTCCATCACAGTTTTGCTGTAGCTGGATATAGCGAAGGCCGGACTGTTATCATTAACATCTGAAACATGAACTGTAAAATTGACAAAACTCGACAGGCTTAGAGATCCATGATCTGAGCATTTGAGAACAACATTCATGATGTTTTCAGTTTCTCTATCTAGCAGGGCCTTCGTTTCTATATTAAAACCTTTTTCTTCCAGGGGTTTCAGCGTGAAATAAGTATTTAATGATAGGCACTCGACAACACCGCCGTCTCCTTCGTCGTAATCCTGATACCTCAGCCTTCCAACGAACGATGCCTCTGGAAGGTCTTCAGGCAACACTATGATGTTTTGATGCATCGGAGCAGCCAGAATGAGCGATACTTGAGGAGGTGTGTTTCCAACATCAAGAACATTGATCATCAAAACTGTTTGTGACGCTTTAGGGGATTCCCCGTGGTCTTTCGCTACAATAACTGCCTGAAACGTTCTTCCGGATTCATACTCAAGAGTGGATTTCACCGAAACAACGCCTGTGTCTGGGTGGAGAGTAAAGAGCTGTAGAACTCTGTTTGAAGTTAATGGACTAAACATAAATGTAATGCGGCCGTTCTCGCCGGAATCTAAATCAGTGGCGTTTACGGTTCCAACAAAACTGTTAACTTCTGCGTCTTCGGAAACGTTAAAGTTGAAGGTCGGCTGGATAAACTGTGGGCTGTTGTCATTGACATCTGTAATGGTGATAGTTAGAGACAATGTTCCGGTCAGCGCAGAGCTACTGTCTCCATCTTTAGCGTAGATGTGAAGATGGTACTCGCTCTGGTTTTCTCGATCTAGATCTTGAAGAAGCACCAACTTTAACAGGGATACACCTAGCAATTTTTCCTCCTTAAGTTCAAACACTGGGTTTTCGTCAATCCAGTACGTAATTTTAGCTCCCATCTGCGCATCCGGGTCGACGGCGCCGGAAACGGAATAATCACTTCCTTTTGGATAAGATTCTGAAATGCTGAGAAGAAGACGTTTGTTTGGAAACGTTGGGGCATTGTCGTTAATGTCATCAATAACAACTACAACATGGAAGATCTTCAAAACAGAAGCATCAAGCTTGACGGTGACATCAAATTCTAGCCTACAGCTGACGACAGCTGATTCACACACCTCTTCGCGGTTGATCATCGCCGTGGTGTACACTATTCCAGAGTGACTGTTTATTATAAACAGAGAGGAGAGACTTAGACCGTCTGAGCCGAGAATCTGGTACCGAAGTTTCTTAGCATTGGCCGGAGCAACTTCTGAACGAACCCCGCTGGCTTCAGCCACATCTCCCACAAACGTGTTGGCTTTCTGCTCCTCCAGAAGATGAAACACAATACTGTTGCTCTGGGAAACCGTGCATTTGAGAAGTGATAGGATCAGGGTCATGAAGGTCAAGAGGGTATTAGAGGACGACATCTTTGTGACTCTCGCTCGCTAGCAAAAGTAACTTTGTTTTCAGAAGAAAGGTCAAACCAAGTAGTGGAAGCTCTAAATGGCAAAACTGATATGTTGGGCTAGATAAAGTCGAGATAAACGATGTCACCTGGTTTCTCTTGCCGAGTCATCACCTGAGGGAAGAAAGTACAAATAACAACCGTTATTATTCAAATAAGTGTTATTAGTTAACAGAAGTGACGTCACGGACACTAAGGACATTCTCATAAGTGCTCCGTCTCAACTAAAAGATGCAGAAATATATCGATACTAAAAAGCCACTTACAATAGTTGCATACAAACCTAACACGTGTTTGTAAACTAAATGGTTCAGGTTCCAGAGAATACGGTGCGTTTTTCAAGTCTATTCATTGTGGTTTCAATGTATGCCGTTTGGTTTGTTTTACTTTGACAGATTAGACAACAAACACGGAAAATTAATAATTCAGTGGATACCTTCTTTTTAGGGGCGTGCAACGGAAATATTTCCTCTTAGTATACACCGACTATTCACTGCGGTAGAAATGTTTGGTTGTTCATCCACTCCTTAAATCAGAGCATGCGTTTGACGTGCCAATCCGTAGCTTCTTTACGCAGACTATTGGTTCTTCACTCTCAGGCAGAAGCACTCCAACTTTGAGAACACAACTTATTATGCGCCTTCTACGACATGCTTGTAGGCTTCAGTGTGTCTATACTTTTTTTCTTTAAAGTGGGATCCCGAGACCCACACGGGTACATCTGAGGTATACATTTTCTATTTTTTAAAATCACATCAATAAATAAGACTGAAAATATTACAAAAGCTTAGTGATTGTTTATTAGCCATAGTGTGCCAGACTTTAGACTGAACAGAAAGGAAGATAGGCAGACAGAAAACAGAACGAATGAAGGAGAATGACTAAAGGAGAATCAATGAGAGAAAGAGATACGAATGAAATAAAAGATGACTAGAAGGAAAACGAAACAGCATAGGAAAGAAATCAAAAAGCACGAAAGGAAAGGAAGGAAGTAAAGGACGGAAGTAAAGAAAGAAAGACAGACAGAAAGATAGAAAGAAAGACAGACAGACAGACAGAAAGACAGACAGAAAGACAGACAGACAGACAGAGACAGACAGACAGACAGACAGACAGACAGACAGACAGACAGACAGACAGACAGACAGACAGACAGACAGACAGACAGACAGACAGACAGACAGACAGACAGACAGACAGACAGACAGACAGACAGACAGACAGACAGACAGAAAGAAAAGAAAGAAAGAAAGAAAGAAAGAAAGAAAGAAAGACAGAAAGAAAAGAAAGAAAGAAAGAAAGAAAGAAAGAAAGAAAGAAAGAAAGAAAGAAAGAAAGAAAGAAAGAAAGAAAGAAAGAAAGAAAGAAAGAAAGAAAGAAAGAAAGAAAGAAAGAAAGAAAGAAAGAAAGAAAGAAAGAAAGAAAGAAAGAAAGAAAGAAAGAAAGAAAGAAAGAAAGAAAGAAAGTTAAACCACTGCATTTGGTCAACTTTTCTCCTCATTAATAATTTAACCTTGCAGAAAAAGGGCCCCCTGAAACAACATGCATTTCACCACCCTTCTATCCTTCTATCCTTCTATCCATTTTTTTTTTTTTTCATGACGCAATCCACAAGATTTGCTGATGTCACGTTTGACAAACACAAGTATCAGCGACGTCCTTAACTCCCCCCTCTCTCACTGTCCAAACGCGCTCCTGATGTAATATGGGTGAGTGTGTGGGTGTATGTGTGTGAGATGAGTGTGTGTGAGGTGGGTGGGTGTCTGAAGGGAACGATGTTCGTGGCCTGATGTTATTACTCTCCCATCGTTTGCTTCAATTATTCACCAAATTTGCAGTTTCGCTCCTGGAATATAATTTGCCCGTGTTTAGTTTTAGGTTTCTCGTCATCAATTCTCGTTTGTGTTTTTCTGTTTAGAATTAATCTCTCTCTCTCTCTCTCTCTCTCTCTCTCTCTCTCTCTCTCTCTCTCTCTCTCTCTATTTCTTTGTTGTCATTCTCTCTCTTTTTCTTTCTTTCTTTTCTCTCTCTCTTTCTCTCTCTGACTTTCTCTCTCTGACTTTCTCTCTCTGACTTTCTCTCTCAAACTCTTCACTTTCTCTCTGTCTTTCTCTAACTCTCTTTCACTTCATTTAGTCTGTTTTCTCAAAACATCCGCATCTTTAACTTTCCATCTATATCTGTACCTTCTCCTCTCTCTCTCTCTCTCTCTCTCTCTCTCTCTCTCTCTCTCTCTCTCTCACTCTCTCTCTCTCTCTCTCTCTCTCACTCTCTCTCTCTCTCTCTCTCTCTCTTTGTATATCTCTCTGCATATCCATAACATGAATTATTGATAACATGTATTGGTACTCTGAAAATTAAGTCCTTTGAAGGGCCTAATGTCAGACGGGCCTGCGTGCCCAGTTTGTAACCCTTTGAAAATAAAGCTCGTTCGTTCGTTTGTTCTCCCATTAAAAGATTATAATATGCTAGGCATATTATATATTTGGCTTTGATTTGTTAGTTTTTATACTAATAATTATCTCTACGACTATCTCTCACCATCTTTCTATCCATATCTTTCTACTTGTCTCTGTCACTATTTCCTTCCCTATTCAACTTTTATCTTTCTACCCATATCTTTCTACTTGTCTCTGTCACTATTTCCTTCCCTATTCAACTTTTATCTTTCTACCCATATCTTTCTACTTGTCTCTGTCACTATTTCCTTCCCTATTCAACTTTTATCTTTAGACCCATATCTTTCTACTTGTCTCTGTCACTATTTCCTTCCCTATTCAACTTTTATCTTTCTACCCATATCTTTCTACTTGTCTCTGTCACTATTTCCTTCCCTATTCAACTTTTATCTTTCTACCTCACTCGGTCTTTGTCTTTGTCTGTCTATATCACGTGGCAGTCTTTTTCTAAACCGCCAACCATTGGAGTCGAGCCCTGGTGGTAATGGTTTATGACTGCATTGTGAAACGATTTCACTAATCTCTGAGTCTGTAAGTCGTACTGTCTGTCTTAACTCTTAAAGAGAAAACAGTGAAGATGATCTGTGGTGTTTGTTGTCTGCTTCGAGCAGAGTGGCAAGCTTCACTGGAAAGGTCACTGGTAGTGAGTATACTTTGGATCTTTCCTCCAGGCATGCGGGCGTGGTGGGTAATGAACAGAGGAACAGACTGGCTGGATCCGCACCACTGGGTGGTGAATTTATACATTTCAATACAGATGTGGTCAAGGCCCTTTTGAGCAAGCAACGTAATCAGTAGAGAAGCAAGATTATTATGGCCTGGAGAGAATGAAGCACCTGAGTATAACCAGAGGGTCTGACCGCCTCACTACAATCAGAGGAAAGGCAAGACGGACATATAAGCAGATTGTGATAGGTACCATCAGTACTCGAACTCTGCGCTGGCTGCTGAAGATGAGGACAGAGCACGCATAGGAATCCCTGAGTGCTGTGATGTCAATTCTTGATTTAACTCAACTTCCCGTCCATCATCGTATGCAAATAAGCAGTATGCTCTTCCACCGTTCATCATCATCATGTGCCCTGCCAACTGGCGTAGGCGCTCATGCCTCTCCACAGATCATGATCCCTGGTTGCCTGGAACAACTCTCTTGATGATATTCCTCCATGCCATCGTTTCAGCCCAACCAGCATCCTCTCTATTGGTCAGCCCCTACTCCTTTTTCCCTGGATCTTTCCAGTTGTCACTATATTCTCCAATGTCTCTCTTCTCATTATGTCGCCAAAGAACAAAGTGTGTCTCTTTCTTATTATAGTATATAGAGATCTACTTTCATTAGCTTCTTTCAAACAGTCGTTGTTAGTTACTGTTGTTAGTTTCCACTGTTGCTGTTATAAATTGACGTTATGTGCATTAGAAAAACAAGTTGACGCCTCCTGGTGCGGCTATGGGGACTTGAGGTAAGTGAATGCTTTTCACAATTTAGTAATCCACGAGTACTGAGGTTAGATATCCAAAGCTGACGGCTTTTTCAACAACAACCCTCTCGTTCTCTGGGTGTTCTCGTGGGCGACGGTACGCGAGCAGCACGGTACAAGAGATTATGGCTCCGTCTTGTAATTTTTCCTTCTTCTTCCTCGTCTCATTTGTTTACAGGCTGTAAGCTCTGCTTGTTTGTCCATTCGGACTTTGGCTGTGTGCCAATACCTGAGCTTTGCGTGTACATCCGTTTTACTGACTTCTTTTTGCCCCGTTAGTTGCTCCTTGCCGTTCAGGCAGATGCACTCTGATTTCGAAGGAAGCCTCCAGTTAGTCGACTCCTGTGACCTGACTATTGTACTGGGCCTATTCTTGTTAAACCCACAATGGGGTCCCAGAACCCACATGGAGAGTAATACTTCCCAAGACCATGGCTTTGCTCTCGGGTACATGCAGTAGCCGAACCTTTTTATTTTTAAAAATAAAAACGCTAATGTAATAAATATTTTGTAGTGAGTATCGGCACATTTTCTGTAGACACTTTAAATAAGTATAGTGAAGGTTCCTTTTCCACGACTTCAGGGGTGTTGGACATACAGGGCTAGAATTATATTTTATAGACCAATCGGTATACGGCAGGTGGTTTGGTCAACATCGAAATGGCCATCTTGACTTCCTATAACTAAACCTGGTACCCCCTCAAGGCTGGGTAGACGGGGAGCCGATGTCATTGCTTTTTTAAAGTCCGGCTCCGTCATGATCCGAACCCCGACCTTCAGATCCTCAGGTGAGCGTCTAGCCGCTACACCACGGTTTCTCGTTCCCCCCCCCCCCCCCCACGCCCCCCCCCTCAATTTGAGGTTTCGAATCTTTTTTTTCCCCTCTGACAAGAAAACCTTGTTCGAGTCTAGTCGATCATGGCACAGGCGGATGAAACGACTCTACATTGCCTCCAGTCTTCGACCCATGCATTTTCATCATGCTTTGTGGATATAGAACTTCTACCAGGAACGAATTTTTCCTC